TTAAAAAAAAATTAATGGAAATTAAATAAATGAAAACAACAGAAGGCAGTGGCAATTTAACCTAAGTTTATAGACATTTTATCTTTTTCAAGTTTATTTATTTATTTTGACAGGGAAAGAGAACGCATGTGTGTGGGTGAGCAGGGGAGGGGCAGAGAGAGAGAGAGAGAGAGAATCCCAAGCAGGCTCTACACTCCCCTCTGACTTGGGGCTCCGCTCTCATGACACGAGACCATGGCCTGAGCTGAAATCAAGAGTCAGACGCTTAAGTGACTGAGCCCCAAGGCGCTTCATAAATTTGTAGACGTTTTAATATTGCACATTTAACAAGATAGGTTTTAGGGAAAACATTAGCATAATTTTATCATCATACCAGTTGTTTCCATTTGTGTATCTTAGGTATTTGTACATATTTAAGATGCGCAATTCTGGGAAGAGCACTTTTCTTCAATGCATAGAAAGGAGAAGAGTTTATGTCAGAGTGTGAGCATGAGCACGGCCTGTGTGACACACGCACATCTCCTACTTAACCTACGTTAACCAGGTTTCCTAACCCGGGAAATGAGAAATAACAATGAGTAATAAAGCCTATTTCATGGGTGGTTGAGAGGATGAAGTGAAATGCTCTAGGGAAATGACAGCGGCTGTCACAAAGTAAGGGCTCAAGAAACAGCGGCTTTTTTTTCAACTTTTTTTTTTTAACGTTTATTTATTTTTGAGACAGAGAGAGACAGAACATGAACGGGGGAGGGGCAGAGAGAGAGAGGGAGACACAGAATCTGAAGCAGGCTCCAGGCTCCGAGCTGTCAGCACAGAGCCTGACGTGGGGCTTGAACTCACGAACCACGAGATCATGACCTGAGCCGAAGTGGGACGCTGAACCGACTGAGCCACCCAGGCGCCCCAAGAAACAGCGGCTCTTAAAACCATCTTCCTCATTTCGCTTCCTACCTCATCCCCGGTTCTCCCCCATCACCACAAGCCTTTATATTCATACGATATTGGTTTGAAAGACCAAGAAACAGACAGACGAACTCCAAAGACATGAAAACCGGGAGACCACACAGCATCTCCTGAAAGTCTGGCACGAGGATGAGCAGACACAGGCTCCGAAGGCTGACAGCTGTGTCCCGGTCCTGCTGCTGCGGACGTCAGAGCCACTGACGTGGGACAAGGACGGTACCTGCTTCCCTCGACCTGGAAGCATCAGGAGTCAGAGACACAATGGCTTCTGCCCTCGCCCCCCCCTGCGGAAGATGGCCTAGGAGCACCGGGCAGCCTAGGGAGTCACCTCTTTGCCCGACCAGAAGCATGGAGCAGGGGCCACGGCAGGAATGGCAGGAATAGCATGAAGCAGACTGGAATCGCATCGCGAGGGCTCTGTAACCTACACTGTTCCCGGGACTGAAGCCCGCAGTGTAAGGCAGAACCTGCACATTCAGTCAAAGCGGAGCAGCAGCAGGCTCGGGCAGAGAGGCTCCAGGGATTCCTCACCTAATCACCAAACACCCAGGAGACAACAAAAACATCACCTCTCGTGCCCCAAACCAGGAGAGGCCCAATGGAAAGAAGACAAGACACTCAACCGGTGGCAATAATGAGGTGAACCAGATGTTCGGGTTATCCAACAAGGATATCAAAAGTGCTTCCGGAATCAGTGATAAATTCTCTCGAAAACAATGGAAAAAATGGAAAATCTCTGCGGACAGAAGTTTTGCAAAAGAACCAGGTAGAAATTCCACGACTGAAAAAGCACATTCACCAAAATAAAAAAGCTTGCTGGAGAGTCTCCCTAGTGACGAACACAGAAGAGACTCGGGGACAACAGCAATCTAAGGAGCTAACTAACATCTGTATCATCGCAATCTCCGAAGGAGATGGGGGGAGTGTGGGGGATTGAGAAAATACTGGAGGAGTGATTGAAAATCCGTAGGTATTACAGCTATCGCCTCTGACAACCGAGATAAAATGGCACCACCTTGCATAAAATGTAGGCAATCTGCATCTTAGCGTTCCTTCGACCCCTCTCTCTTCATGCTACGGTCATTGTAATCTACCTGCATACAGTATGACTCTTGCAGGACAATGTTATATTGCAGTCCCATGTAAAGAAACCACAAGAAAATATGAAATACTTTGTGTTCTAGGTATTTGCCTTTTCAGGTTCTTAACGATTTGCATTTCCATCTGGCATCATGTCAACAACCAAGGGCACAGTTACTCTCGCTGCTCTAAAGTCCTCGTTTGCTAATTCCCACATCTCAGTCATCGTGGCATCGGTCTTGGTTGGTTGTCTTCTCTCTGAAACTGGGTCACGTTATTCTGGTTCCTCTTATGTTGCATAATTTGGATGGAATCCTAAATATTACATGGAGGCGGGTCTGGATTTGGAATATTCCTCTGGAGAAGGCTGATGTGTCGGTCTCAGCAGGCCACTAATTTGGTCAGACTCAAACTGCAGATTCTCTTAGGCAATGGATTAAATCTTGGTTGGGTTCTCGTATCCTCAGCTGTTCTGTGTTCAGTCGGCCCCCACACACGAGTGCGGTTCAGGGGTCAGGCGAGGACAAGGGCAGAGCTGAAGCACAAAACTTGGGGCTCGCCATCTCAGATCTCTCCTATTCCCCCCTTTTCCAGTGGCCGTGGTTGGCCAGAATGACCGTGGCCTCTTCAGGCCCCCTTTCTGCCAGACTTTGGCCTGCCCACTGGGTACTGATTTTGTTCTGCCCTCAGGGAAAAAAACTAAAGAAAGAAAAACGGGAGGTTACCTCCAGCTGGTCTCCCCTTCCAAGTCTTACATCAATCCGGAATCTGCCTGCTTTCGTTCACTCTCCAGTGTTGTCTGATAGTGGGTGGAATCTATTGATCAGGTTGTCCAGAACCTAGAGCTGGGCTCAGTTACAGCTTGCTCCGCAATGGAAGCATAAACCTCCTCGAGGTTTGGAGGGGAAATTCAGTCCAAACTCAAAATGAGGTTTGAATGAGTGCCATTTTTCAAGCATTCTTTCCAAATAAGACCCTGTTCTGCTTATCCATTTGGTTCATGGATGCTTCCCGGTACCATTTTCTTCATATACATCCTGTATATTTCTTATTAGAGAGTATCACATTGTATCAGACTGAAATTGTCATTTAAAAATTTCCTTTGTAATGTTTATTTTTGAGAGAGAGAGAGAGAGAGAGAGCGCGTGAGTGGGGTAGGGGCAGAGAGAGAGGGAGACACAGAATCGGAAGACGGCTCCAGGCTCCCGGCTGTCAGCACAGAGCCTGATGGGGGGGCTCGAACTCACAGACCTTGAGATCATGACCTGAGCCGAAGTTGGACGAAGTCTGAGCACCCAGGCGCCCCTGGTTGTGTTTCATTTGCCTGGACTTCCTTGGCATTAATTTGCTAATTTATGGAAGCCTCATTTGAGAGGTGCCTTTCCCTCCCTGTGGCACAAAGAATCCACAGCTTTTTTTCTGAACGCACAACACTGTGTACTTCACTTCAGATCAGCTGAGATCACCCGTGGTCCAGCTCAGTTCCCGGTCTGCCTTGTGGTCACTGTCCCGTTCAGTTCTTCAGGTAGGATCACTGATTTTAGGTTGGTTCCAAATCTGTGTCTTCAGCATAGAGCTCAAACGCTGACAACATGATACCTTATGTTCTGCCCTTGCTGATTTCACATGCTGATGATTCTCAAAACTCTGCACGGACAATTTAGTGACAGAATGGGAGACGGGTTCAAGCTATCTTCTCTGCTGTCCTTTTTTTTTTTTTTTTTTTTTTTTTTTTTTAATGTTTGAGAGAGAGAGAGAGACAGAGACAGAGAATCCCAAGCAGGCTCTGTGATGTCAGCCCAGAGCCCAACAAAGGGCTGGATCCCATTAACCATGAGATCATGACCTGAGCCAAAATCAAGAGTCAGATGCTTAACCAACTGAGCCACCCAGGAGCCCATCTTTTTTTTTTTTTTTTTTTTTTTTTTACGTAGGCTTCACACCTGATGTGGGGCTTGAACTCACAACCCTGAGATCAAAACCAAAGCTGAGATCAACAGTCAGACAATTAACTGACTGAGCCACCCAGGCGCCCTTGTCCTTTTCTTTATAAAAAACCTTTTTACTAGACTGAATCAGCTCTGAATGGAATTTTGCACAAACATGCAGAAATAACCTAACATTGAAGTTTTCTTTAATTATATAGTTACCTGCACTAAATTTGGGGGGATAAAATAAGGGAGAGAAACTAAAATGAGAAATAAAAAAAGAAAAGCACAGTATTAAGCTTTATAAATGGACTTATTTTTAAAAATTAATTTCAGATATTAAAATCAATCAGAAACATTTAAATCAACTTCTCTTTTAAAGATATACAGACTACTTCTTCTGTTCATTATATTCTGAATCTCCATAAGTTTCCATGAAAATGTATTAAGCTATCCAAATATTTGGCTTATCTCTAATGTCTAAGAGGAACTTGATGCTATTGAAAAGAATACAAAAATATTCTTTTCCAGAGGTGATCTCATCTTAAATTTCATTTACGAAAACAAGAAGTACCTTTAATCATATGCTATGAAGACTGGCAATCCCTGAGAAAATGACTCATTGAAGACAAAATAATTAGCTATTTCACTGGACTACATAATCCTCTCCAAAAAAAAAACCAAACAAAAAAAAAAATCAATGCTTCCCCAAAGAAGTTACAAGAGGCCAAGAGCACACTAAAAATTCTTTATTGTCATTATTAAATGCATTATATAAACATGATAAGTGGAATATACTATACATTCGATGGAACACATATAGCCTTTATCAGGGTAAAAAAAATACATAGCCAAGAATGGAAAGCAGCATACATTAAAAAAAAAAGTGAACAGCTCTCATATATTACTGTCACTATACAATGTGCCAGGATGTTCTACAACCTTTCTATTAAACAAAAGGGAACTAAACATTATGTATGGTTTAAAGGAGTTAAATGCCAGATATTCCACACACAGAAGGAGAAAATATTAGCATCCTGGAATCATCTTTATTCCTGGTCCATTTTCTGCCCACTGGAAAAAATTGCACTGTTTTGCCTTCCCAAGAGGACACACGAAAAAATTCTTTCCGTTATTGGGTCCAATCTTCAACACCGTTCTCATGATAGAGCGTTTGCCATGGTTGCAGAATGGGAAGGACAGATCCGCCCACTACAGGGTTAAAACAGAAGGATTGGGAAGTTTGGATGCAGGTTAGAAACACGTACAGCCTAAGCCTGGGTGCATCTGGTTAGTGCATCCCGTGTTCCCTGCCACTGTTAATCTGACATTGGAAAATAGACAGAAGTCATTAGTGCTTGCCCTTGAAAAAAGCTTACATCCTGTACGAAGCATCTCTCCTGCAAATTTGCTTGAATCACACAAAAAACTGCCAAAATGCTCAGCTTCTCTTTGTCTACAGACATGTTTACAGGGGTTTTCTTGCTTTACTGAAAATAATTGAGAATGATCAGCATCTTGCTGTAAAGCCATCACCAGTGCTTCTGCTATGTTAAACCGATTAAGATCAAAGATTTGTTATGATTTTAATACTCAACTTCCTTCTTTCATCTCTTAGGAATAAAAAGAATCCAATACAGAATTACATGGATGAATTTAGGCAGATTCCATTGTATTACTCTTATAAACGTTGGCCTCAAGGGAACTATAAAGCAGGCTGTAATATTATTAATTTTCTACCTAATATTTTTTCCATTATATCTACGAAAGCTCCTTGAGGGAATGTTGTCAGTTCAGCAGGATGCAGTCACTGCTCATGCAGGGGTTCAGACCCAGTCATTATCCAGTTTTCCTTGGAAAATTCCTTAGGAAGGTACCACACTGAAGACAGAGGTTTTCAAGCTCAGTAAGCCCAATCAGAAAATTTTTGCTCCAGCACTGAGACAGATCAGTATTTGCTGTTATGCACCAGATGTAGCAGTTGGTTGGAGAAATATGTATTTAAACATTGAAACCACAGTCAGCATAGTGAGAGACTCACATTCTGAGAAACACAGAAGGTGAGTCGGAGGAAGACGGACTCCAGACTCTAGTGTCCTGTCCTGTCTTCACTTCCAGGGACACGCTCCCAGAATGGGAAGGGGGGAGGAATCGCCCTACATCTAAATTGTTATTGTGCAAGCTTGTGTGATAGGATTCACTACGTTTACTGTAAATCCAAGGTTTGTCTGTGATTTTTCCCCCGTGTACTTCTCCCCAGGGCATACACCAAAGGTTCTGTGGAAGGGAGGAAAAACACGTTTGTGTCCTGAATTATTCGCCACCTGCGTAAATCACTCAGTCCCCTTCTACCTTTATAAACCAAGGACCACACATCTGCACCTGTGGTTACACACGGGCTACACCAGAATCATCTAACGGCTATTATTTGATTAGTTTTTCAGTTTCTCATGAAGCTCCTTGAGTTTTCTGTTCTTCAACATTCAGGCTTTAGACTGAATGTCAGTGTGGCTCTTTAAAATTTAAAGGTGAACAAATTAAATAAATAAAACTTAAAGGTGAAAGCGGAAAACAAGATCGCTATTCATTACATCGTAATAATGGAAGCATGTGATGACAGCACAGCGAGCTTGAAAAAATCTTACACGTACTTGGAAAAATCCGCACTGCGCTTGTCTAGGTAGAGGACAAGCGTAAAACTGCCTGCCCTTGTTTTCGCCATCCTTCTGCACAACTCGTAGAACACACAGGAGCTTGTGTTTACCGCAGCGAGGACTGCCAGCATTTAATGCACAGGTACCATCTGTCATGTTAATTCCAAGTTCACTGTAACGACAGGTTACAAAGTTACTACAGCCCAACAGCGCTAAAGGGATAATCCCCACCACCTTCCCCTGCATTAGAATTCTGCTTGTACGGGGGGTACCCGGCTGCCTCCGTCGGTTAACTGTCAGACTTCAGCTCAGGTCATGATCTCATGGTCTGTGGGTTCGAGCCCCACATGGGGCTCTGTGTTGTCATGACAGCTCAGAGCTTGGAGCCTGTTTCAGAATCTGTGTCTTCTCTCTGTGCCCCTCCTGGGCTCACGCTCTCTTTCTCTCTCTCTCTCTCAAAAAATAAACATAAAAAAAAAAAAAAAAAGAATTCTGCTTGTACAAAGACGAGGTGCCAAAAAGGGGACCAGGGTCAATGGCAGGTCATTCCACACACTGCTACCACATCTGTTTAATTCCTGTTTTTTCTCAGGTAATCCTAACTTACCTCCAAAGCCACCTGTGCACCCAAAGCATGCAATTAAAATTTCTGAACAGCTGAAATGTGTACCCAGCACACCTACTTTCCTTAGTGTTTATTTGTGATAACTGGTTCTTCCCTTACTCAGTAGTATAGGGTGGCCACTTTCATTTCCTCTAAAATATTCTCAAGTTCAGTAGCTCCCCAGCCCCCAAAGTAACTAGAATGACAGTCTTCTCTAATTATTTCCTCATCGGTAGCAAGCTCTCGTGGATGGCTGTGACAAGGCCAAAAAGATCACTCTTTCTATCGTCCATTTTAAAGACAATTTTCTACGCTTTTCTTTGATCAAGGCTACTATAATAGTTGCAGTCGTATTTCAGCAAGGCCTGGGCTGCCTGGCAGAGAAGAAATGTGTATTTTGTCAAGCCAGTAGGGAAGCTTTATTCTCCCCCACAATTAGGATCAACTGTACCTGGAGGTTATTCCTGCATACAGGGGACGAAGGTCAGAAGCCGGACTTCTATTGGTATCGTAGAAGCAAATTTTCTCTTAGAAAAAGAGCTTCATGGGTATTTTAACCTTTTTATATTCTGCATATTTTTATAATGCCTTTATGAGAGTTAGTCTCTTTAATAAACCAGTTGAAGAGAAACAGAGCTCACATTAATTGAAGAAGTCCTTTTTTTTTTTAATTTTTTTTTCAACATTTATTTATTTTTGAGACAGAGAGAGACAGAGCATGAATGGGGGAGGGGCAGATAGAGAGGGAAACACAGAATAGAAAGCAGGCTCCAGGCTCTGAGCCATCAGCCCAGAGCCTGACACGGGGCTCGAACTCACGGTTCACGAGATCGTGACCTGAGCTGAAGTCGGACACTCAAGCGACTGAGCCACCCAGGTGCCCCCAGAAGTCCTTCTTAATATCACTATTTTAAAGCTTTTTAATGATAAAAAAAATTCATCCTTTCTTATTTTTTTGGTTAAAATATCATCCTTAAATAATCTTTAGAAATACTTAAAAATTATAAACAGTTCTCATTTCTTGCTTCCTAAACTACATACTTTATTTATTTTTTAAATTTTTTGAGTTCATTTATTTATTTTGAGAGAGAGAAAGAGAGAGCAAGCACAGGCAGGGGAGGGGCACAGAGAGGGAGAGACAGAATCTCAAGCAGGATCTGCACTGTCAGCTCAGAGCCTGACACGGGGTTCGAACTCACGAACCACAAGATCATGACCTGGGCTGAGACAGAGTCGGACGCTTAACCAACTGAGCCACCCAGGCACCCCCTAAAGTACATTCTTCATATACATGTTCCAGTAATGATGCTTCAAGGCCTATGTAAGTGAAATGTTCAGAGTTTGAGGTATTTTTTCTTTCCATTTTCATTGAGACACAGTTGACATAGAAGAGATATTTTATTTGTGATGAAACTGGTTTAAACTCTTCTGTAAGACAGATGCTTAAGTAAATTGCTTTAAAGTGAGTCAAATATTCTGAGGGTAGTCTCCGAAGCTGTTCATGCAGTAGGCATTGCTAAGGAAATCATTACTGTTAAGTGTTTTGCCAGCAACTGTTTTGTTTGTACGTCCGTCAGGGTGGAGGACAGTTGCTTCTACTTTAGAATCCTAGGTATTAACATCCAGAAAGAGCAAAGCTGGAAGGCAACAGTATCTTCTTTTCCAGACTCCCTCCATTTTTCCGATGCCCCTTCCAAAAGAGGGTATATTAAAATTTTAACTTCAAGAGAAGCTAAGTATCTAGGTGGTTGCAGAGAAGTCAAGAAACATCAAAAACGTGGGGCCGCCTGGGTGGCTCAGGCGGTTAAGCGTCTGACATTGGCTCAGGTCGTGATCTCACTACTCATGAGTTCAAGCCCCGAGTCGGGCTCTGCGCTGACGGCTCAGAGCCTGGGGCCTGCTTGGAATTGTGTCTCCCTCTCTCTCTCTGCCCCTCTCCCACTCACGCTCAGTCTCTGTCTCTCAAAAATAAATACGTTAAAAAAAAATTAAAAAAAAAAAAGAAATACTGAAACCAAAGCAAGTGGATCATAAATGTGCTTTTAAAGAAACTGTCAAGAGAAAGAAAAAAAAGGTAAAGAATATTGATAGGAGTGAAGTGATGCTCTCTTATAAAAAAAAATACACACTTTTAAACAGTTTTCTACATTATTATGGAAATGGCTGTCTTAGATAACAATTAGTTGAACACTTCCAAACCATCTGCTTCAACCTAGAAATCTCCAGAGTTCCATATAGCCAAGAGAGGTTTAAACTCTCTTTCCTAGTAAAGCTTTCCTGGGGAGGGGTAAAGTGGAAGGGTGGAAGGTAGGATTCAGTTGGGGATAAAAGGCTCCAGGGGTCCCCTCTGGCTCCTCATTTCTGTCTTTCATTCCATTTTCTTCCTTGGTATAAAGCTAAAGAAAAACAACAGCCATAAGCTCTCTTATCCCTGGCACTCAGAGTATGGGCTGCTGACTGGAAGCCTCGGCATCACCTGGGAGAGCCTGAGAAACACAGAATTAGGGGAGCCTGGGAGGCTCAGTCTGCGAAGCGTCTGACTCTTGGTTTCAGCTCAGGTCATGATCTCACAGTTCGTGGGATCGAGCCCCTTGTCAGGCTCAGCACTGGCAGTGTGGCAGAGTCTGCTTGTGATTCTCTCTCTCTCTCTCTCTCTCTGCTCCTCCCCCCTTCTTTCTCTCTCTCAAAATAAATAAATAAATTTAAAAAAGAAAAAGTAAATACAGAATTATCCACCCCGCTCCAGATCGCCTGCTGAATTAGAATCTGCATGTTAACAAGATTCCCAGGTGATTCGTATGCACATTGAGTCGCGAAGCTCTGAGTGAACATAACCGAGATATTGATGCCACCTGTGATCTCATCAACTCTAAATATGCACAGCTAATCTTAATTTTATGATAGAAAACATTATCCAGGATAATTAAATGTTCTGACGAATCGAGGACTTCCTGGTTCTTCTTTGTTTCCATCATTAAGAACTTTGTAAACTGTAGCAGAACATTTTCTCAGGTAAATTTAGCATAAGAATACTTTAACTTATTTTATAATTAGGACCATCACTTTGAACATTAATAGACTATAAATGGTCTGTTAATGGATCGGGGTTGACAAATGTTTTCAGATAGCACATATTTTCGGCCTGTGGGTCTTAACAGTCTCCGTTGCAACTACTCAATTCCGTCTGATATTGTAGCATGAAAAGCGGCCAAGGAAACTATGGAAACCAATGGGAATGGAATGTGTTCCAATAAAACTTTATTTATAAAATCAGGTGGGAGGCTGGATTTGGCTCTGCCAACCGTAGTTTCCTAAAGTAAGTCATTTGAACTGAGCAGCACTTGATGCATAATAGTTTTCAATAAATATTTGTTAATGAATACATAAATAACACTGAAGACAGATCAGATAAAAACTCTTCTCAAGAGAGAATACATCACCACGCACAACTGTGTAATTTTAAAATGGATAGGTTTTCAATGCTCAATTCATCATGGCTTAACTAATTTTACAGATAGGGTGATTCTTTATAATAAAACCACTATCTACCTTTTTTTGAACCCTTCAGTCTCACCAAATGTAGATTTTGTAGCTCAGTGGCATTTCAAGAATGAAAACAAACACAGGGAGGTAAAATGACTCATCCTAGCTGGCCCCAGGTGGTTCTCTTGGGGATCGAATACCCTGAAGGTTACAGGAAGCATGAAGAAGGGGTGTTTCCCTGGTGTTAGAGGTGGCACTGCCAACCTTGATGTAGCAGACGTGAGAAAATGGTAGTGATTCTGCCAGTTTTATTTCCTCACCCAAGCAAACCTCTGCACCAGCTCAGGAGAAACCTTCACCCAAACAAACACATGGATTCTCTGAATATGTACCACTGTGTTGTGCTCTGTATTTACACTAATTGGATCAAAGACTTTAAACTGTTTCTAGCAGGTACTCTGAACTGCTAAAAAACTGGTTCGACCATCTAATTCATAATCCTATCACTGGATAAAACTCCAGTATATCCAAAGACCAATCCGAAAATATGCCTCGTCAACAGAGCATGTATCATGTAGTGATGGGATCAGTAATTAAGAGAACAAAAGGCGAATTAATTACCATATAATTATTAAAGAAAAAAAATAAACTGCCTATAAATTCTCTGAGTGGACCACCTGTTTTCACGTATTATGTTGTGAGCTTCTGCTGGGCATCTTGTCCACAAGATGAACACTGAAGCTGCCAGACAAGGAGAAAAATGAAATAAATGACAGTAATTTGCAATTTATTCCTTGTAAAGTAGCTGGGTGCAGAAGGGCTGCTGGGTGAATGTATTTCATCACTTGACATTTATTCCTGCTAGTTGATCTTGATTGATTTTAGAGTCTCAGTCCTGGGGTTCTTATATTCAACACATACATAGGCTGCGGCGTTTCTAAGTAATGTTATGCACTGTGATTAATCATATGACCCTATTACTAATGGCTTATGAAGAAATCATTTAAATTTAAGGTTACAGTAATGTTTTTTTAAATCCCTAATTCATTAAATTGTCTAAGATTTTCTACAAAGCACTAAGGAAACAAAAATATGCCAAGATATTTCATCTGAGTACAAAGAATGCCACAACACTAAAATGATCACATCTACATCTTTGCTCTTAAGCTACAGAAAAGACTTAACAAATGACTTTCTTACAGGATGGTCTCCCAACTCATGCTCCAGACCCTACCTCCTTCGTGACCTCTGATTAGGGCTCATTAGATGTTAATTGGGATTAAAATGTAAAGTTAGTCCTGATCCAGTCATTTAAATGCTTGGCCTCCATAGCTTAATTCAAACATCTGTCATTTCTTAGTATTATGGACACAAGTTAAAACAGATATTATAAATGACTGTGAATGAGATTTTTTGAGAGACGGTCAAGGAGAAATCATCACGACTAACCTATGGCAAATTTAGTGTCGGGAGAGGAAACTGGAGACAAAATCATGTACTGACCACACACCGCCTCAGAAATCTGTTAGCAAGTAAGCTCGAACGAAGGGTTCCGAGAGCCTGGTCTGGGCCTGCACATCAAGTGGCCCCTGGTGGTGCGGCCCAAGGGAAGAACCTTCCCCTCAGCCAGGACACAGCCCATCGGTGGAGAAGCCAGTAACACAAATCCCGCCTGTGATCGCATGAAATCCCATGCACACCAACTCTCCCTCCGCCTCTCTCCCACTGGCAAGACAACACCCATGGGAAGGAAACGCTCCAACTTCGCTTTATTTAAAAACGCAGGATGTACGGCACCTGCTTTCTGAAGGAAAAAGGAAAACACAGCTTGAAAAAGACAACTGTGGAGACATGTCTCTCTCTGATGGAGGCCCAAGAGCAGGTGGCCAGAGTAGAGAAGCCCCAGATAAAGACCTACACGAGAGAGTGTGGACAGGTAGTTCTAGGTGCTGCCGTAATCACAGAAGGGGGACATCGTTTAGTAAAATTTCTCTATCTCCAGCGACAGCCATCGGGAGGCTGCTTCTAGATGGGAAGGTCAGAGTCTCAAAACATACCTGGTCTGCCTGTATTCACGAATTTGCAATGACAACTTTTCAAGTTCAGCTACAACTGTGGCACACACGCTCTCTGGGCCTTCGTGGCTGAAACACACACCATCCCACACGGCTGGAATACAGCCACCTTCTTCGGCAGCAATGCTGCTGAAAGTATCTCCTCTCTCTCTCTTTAGAAGACACAGACTAAACTCTCATGACTAATAGTCTCCCTTTCGGAAGAACTATCTTTCTTTGGAAGGAAATATAAAAAAAATGCAGGGGCACCTGGGTGGCTCAGTTGGCTAAGTTTCTGACTTCGGCTCAGGTCATGATCTCACAGCATGTGAGTTCTAGCCCCACTTTGGGCTCTGTGCTGACAGCTCAGAGCCTGGAGCCTGCTTCGGATTCTGTGTCCCCCTCTCTCTCTGCCCTCCACTTCGCATTCTGTCTCTCTCTCTCTCTCAAACATTAAAATTTTTTTTTAAATAATGCTAACAGTGGTAATTGCTATCGGGTGATATTTTTCTTTATACTTTCCAGTATTTTCCAAATATTCTGTACTGAACACGTACATGGGTACAGTCAGAATAAAGTAACTTTGGGGGTGCCTGGGTGGCTGAGTTGGTTAAGAGTCAGACCCTTGATTTTGGCTGAGGTCGTGATTTTGCGGTTTTGTGAGTTTGAGCCCCACGTCGGGCTCTGCACTGACAACTAGGAGCCTACTTGAGATTCTCTCTGTCTCTCTGCCCCTCCCCAACTCGTGCTGTCTCTCTCTCTCAAAATGAATAAACTTAAAAAAAAAAAAAAAAAAAAAAAAGAACTTTTTACAGATAGATGTAGAAGATTCTGTTTTTCATTCTCTTCCCTTCCCTAACATCATAAGCTAGAGAAAACATGGGAAGGAGATGGCTATAGTCATCTTTCCGGGTTTGATTCACCTTACCAAAATCAATGCAGCTTCCTTAGCAGGGGCCGACTCTTCTGCCTTCTCAAAACTTAATGCAAATACCTTCAAGATCAAGGTTAGAGGTATCATACCTGTTAGAAAATCCAGGGCTACCGCTTTTGAGGTCTGGTGATGAGGAGTGGGTTGTTTTTAACTTTTTATAGGCTGGACTAAATAATTTGGACTGAGAACAGGCCGTAGGTGATCCGTTTACTCTGTTAGATGGTTGAGTTCTATGGTTTGCTCTCTCCTTGGAAGGGTGCAGTGGATCCCTAAAACACACATCAGTCGGAGGAGAGTTTTGAAATTCTCTATCTAGCATCCCACTTTGGCTTGTTTCTCCTTCCAAAGCACTGGATTTATTGCTGAAATCAGTCAAGACAAGGGTTGTAGTTCCAAATACTGTTCTCCTGTTGACCTTCACCTCTGTACTTGGTTTTCCAAAACTATTACAAGGATACTTCACTAAGCTGTCAAACACAATAGAATTGTCTTCATTGTTGATTACTGAATCTGGAAGGAGAGAGAAATGATACTTCAGAGTTCCTAGAAGTGTGATAATATATCGACTATTTGAAACATCTTTAAAAAAAAATTTTTTTTTTTACATTTATTTATTTTTGAGAAACAGAGTGAGACAAAGTGTGAGTGGGGGAGGGGCAGAGAGAGAAGGAGACACAGAATCCCAAGCAGGCTCCAGGCTCTGAGCTGTCAGCGCAGAGCCCGATGCGGGGCTCGAACCCACGAACCGCAAGATCATGACCTGAGCCGAAGTCGGATGCTCAACCGACTGAGCCACCCAGGTGCCCCGAAACATCTTTTTATATCGTTAAAACTTTTAGTTCACTTATGATGGTGAATGCATAGAACTATCAACACAGTTAGTTTGGACAATTCAGGATTAACTGTCTTCTCGTTAGGAAATAAAGTGTCATAGAAAGGGCAATATTTCACCAACTCCTAGCAGCGCAGAGGTGGCTTTAACAGAGATTTATATTTGCTTGTTATTATTTTTTACCATCTAAAAGTCATTCAGCTACCAATTTTGTTCCTATTAGGCAACACAATAAAGCAGTGGTAATTAAGGGATGGTATATAGATCAGCAGTTAGCGGCCTGTCTCTGGATTATCAGGAATGTCTCTGTGAATGACACATAATGGGAAAGGCTTACTGAAATTAAACAAAGATGAATTACAAAGACTTGACATTAATTAAAAATGTTTCTTTTTTAAAAATATAATTTATTGTCAAATTGGCTAACATACAGCGTGCTCTTGGTTTTGGGGACAGATTTCCGTGGTTCATCACTTACATACAACACCCAGTGCTGATCCCAACAAGGGCCCTCCTCAGTGCCCATCACCCATTTTCCCCTTTCTGTGAATGGCACATAATGGGAAAGCCTTATTAAAATTGGACAAAGATGAATTACAAAGACTTGACACTAATTAAAAATGCTTCAACAAAGCATCCTAGCATTTTGGAATCCATACTATGTTCTAAATTGTAGTCTTTCGTACTCAGAAAAATAACAAGAAAATAGTTAATGGGATGCAGAGAGGCGTTTCAGAATGTTGGAATGAATGAGGAGGCCTCAGACTGTGGTCTTCTGAGGGCTCTGTGCTGAAAGATACTGAACGGGGGGGGGAGGATAAAGAGGAGGCGTGGTCCCTTCCAGCAATGCTGTGCAAGGGGTGGAGCCCACCCTTCTCGCCCAGAGAACAAAACACCCTGTGACAGCGACCACAATGTGGGGTCCATAAGTCAAGAATGAACTTTCTCATCTCTAATTGAAGGGAGAGAGAACACTTTGAGAACACAATAGAAACTGCATCAATGAGCTGGTTCCTAATCACGGGTTCGCTCTGAGGTTTTACATTCTCTGAACGCATGAAATTGTGAGCTGTAAAAAGAGTTATTTTGAAGGATTTCAATGAAATCAGTACAATTGTCTGGGTAAAGATTTTAATAACAAGGGGTAGGAAGGATAAAGAAGAGAAAAAATTCAGCATTTTTCTGTTCCACCTGCAAAGATATTCTTACAGAAATCCTCCCTTTCAGTTTATGAAGTGCTTGGACTGAATAACAAACTCAAAAGTTGCTGAAATCTGCATAAAACAAAGCTTTATTGAATAATTCATTAGAAATAGTAGAGAACAGATGTGATCATCTCAGTTTTTTGAGATACAAAGGCACATACTCTTTTAGCACAAGCATGTTTTCACTCCTCGTTTAAGAAAAAAAAAAAGGACTGAACAGAATATTAGCATGGTTTACATGCAAAGGCTGGCAATTCCTTTAAACCTTGCAGAAAGAAAGCATTTTACTTAGGAAATATCAAGATGGAACAAGATATATAGCTTTGTATAATTAGCCGCCTTTGAACTCAAAATCAAAATTCAGTCTTACCGATAGGTCTTGAAGTCAGGCAAGCATCACAAGCCTTCGAAGACGGCCTGTTTATGAGCGTGCAGACCACACACGTCCACTGCTCTTCGGATTTCCGAGCCACATGGTCCCCTCTGCTGGATGGCCAGGTGACCGTAGTGTTTCTCCTTGGCAGCGTGCTACCAGAAAATTTTGTAACGTTAACCATTACCACTCTTACGGTTGCCTTGTTCCTATACATTCAGGGTATTTTAGAAACTCTTACAGAAACATTAACACCCAAATGTGTACAAGCCCTAACTATCTCAGAATAAAATGTTTCCGCTTGCGTCCCACTGACTGCTATTAAAGACAGAAATAACAAATAAATGTTTTTGTTTACAGTCAGAGCTGTGGTTTTGTTTTTTTAAAACCCTCTAAAAACATTTGACATAACCACTAGGAAGCATTTCTCAAATAATGTTTTAAGTAAGCGGCACTCTTCCCAAACCAACCTAAGATATCTCTGTTCAACCCAATTGGTGGGTGGGGATGAAGCAAAGACTTGGGCAGAAATTAGAACGTGGAAAGCAGAACGAGAAACATTTTACACTTCCTTCATGTCCAGGTCTCTCCAGAATTTCTCAACATTATCCACTAAGCACTACACCAAATAGCTGATCTGTAACGAAGAGAAAGATCCCCAGCCTCGGCGTACTTTCCTTCGGGTAAATCTGTTTCATGTTAGATATCTAATAATAGATTAGTAAGAAAACAGTAAAACCAACCCTGATTTTTGGACACAAAAGTGAATCATGATTTTCCAAATGGAGTTCCTGACTGGTTATTTGTCGTTACACAAAATGCCTTCAAAAGCTCTGATAAAGTCCTACTCTTAAACACATCGTGCCGGGACGCCTGAGGGGCTCAGTCAGTTAAGCGTCCGACTTGGGCTCAGGTCACCATCTCATGGTTCACGACCTCGGGCCCCACGTCACGCTCTCTGCTGTCAGCTCAGAGCCCGCTTCAGATCCTCTGTCCCCCTCTGTCTCTCCCCCTCTCCCGCTCACTCTCTTTCTCAGTCTCTTGCTTTCTAAATAAATGAATAAATACACTTACAAAACAACAGCACTCCATTCTGTAGAGCATGTCACGTGGGTAAGCACCATGGCAGCATCACAGGTCCCTTTATTCCCAACATTAATACAGAAAAAGCTCTTTTGGTAAAAGCCACGGTGCCTTACATCTCACAACACGAGTTCTTTGACTCCCAGAGGTACCTGGTCTCCTGTAACATTTTGCTCCTTACATATAATTACACCAGTTGTTGAATTCACCCTTGTCTGGTGAAATAACAAACAACATAAGCAAATCTGGAAATCAGACACGTCACTGTGGCCCTTTGATGTTTACTGACTTTTTTCTTATTCCTATGGAATACCAGACCTTCCACAGAATTTGCTTCACCTAACTCCTGCCCTCCTCCCAACTTACTCTGAAAGGCAGCAAGATGTATTTATTCATAATTAAATAAACACAATTTAAGTAATCCTCAGATTTTCAACAAGCTCCAATTTTTCACCTCTCTTATCTTCTAGCCTATAGATTTCACTAACCATAAGCATATATTCACTGTGACCTACATACGGCAGCTTTGGAAGCATTTTTCCCCTTACTGCTCCACTGTTAATCACTACCGAGAAATTCTTTCCAATCCCCACTTGGATGTGCAACAGGAATTTCCAATTTCATGTAGTAGCGGACTGCGGAACGGTGTCCTGAAGGCATCGCATCATAATGCCAGGAACCTGTAAAGGTGAATTTACAAAGAGGACCTTTGCAGATGTCCTCTTGACATGGGGGAGATTACCCTGGATTATCTGGGTGGTCCCTTACTCCAAACACAAGTGTCCTTGGAAGAGAGAGGCAGAGGCAATTTGATGCCCATGCAACAGAAGGCGATGTGACCAGAGAGGCAGAGACTGGAGTGACGCAAACCACAAGCGAAGGAAGCCGGGCAACCACCGGAGGCTGGAAAAGGCAGTGGGTTCTCCTCTAGCGCCTCTGGAGGGAACACAGCCCTGCCCACACCTGTGGCCCCAGTGAAACTGCTGTTGAACTTCTGGCATCCACAACTGTGCGAGAATACATTTCAGTTGCTTTAAACTATCAGGTTTGTGGTAGTTTGTTATGGCAACCACAGGAAGCTAGTGCAAATAAAACGTATGATCACTTCCCCAGCCCCAACACACACACACACACACACACACACACACACACACACACACACACACACACTCCTTTGCAACTGCCAGTCTGTCTCATCTCAGTAAACGCCATCACTGTGCACTCCACCCGTCAGGCCAAACACCCTCAAGAAGTCATTCCTAACACTTCTTACCCTCACATCCCACATCCAGTGCACCAGCAAATCGCGTAGGCTCCGCTCCAGGGGCAGACGTACCCTGAAGCTCAAGAAGCTTCCACAGCTCAGTGTGTTCTCCTCTAGGGACCGGAGTGGGGACCGGGAACAACGCAAGCAGGAACCCCAGCTGCCTGCCGGGGGCCGACAGCACCCTCGGCGGTGTCTGCCCCGGGGTTCTTGGTAGGCAAGGCCCGTGCCCCGCCAGCACTATCCCGCACCTGCCCGGTGCCAGGGACCACGTGCCCTGGTGGCGTCGGGAGCGCTGCACCGTCTCGACTTTCAGGAGAAGGACCTGAGACAGCCCGCCCATCCTTCGCTCAAGGGCCAGGGTGACCCAGGCTGCGAGGCCATTCACCACGCGCACCACCCTACCACCAGCCCAGGACCAGCCTGGAAGAGGTGAGACGTCAGAGGCAGCCGAGGGAGAGCCGAGGGCTGGCTGTCTCCTCCAAGGTCCTCGGGCCACCAGCATCAGCATCGTGTGGGAACTTGTCCGACACCCAGACTCTCAGGCCAGGTCCTCCCCGGGCCTTCAACTTCGGGGCCGAGGCCCAGCCATCTGTGCGGACAGCCCTCCACAAAACTGTGGTGCACACGGACGTTTTAGGAACCGTCGCTCCGAGGGCCTCCCCACAGACAGCAAGTAGCGCTTGAGCAAAACGGTACAGGGCAAGCGAGAGATGTGCCACCACTGACAGCCGATTGTGAAGCCAAAGCACGATCTGCTCGTCTATCGATAATGGAAAAATACGATGCTGTTGATGGTGAAACTACAAGGCAAGAAGTAGGCAAGGAGCCAAAACATGGAAGAAGGTAATCACCCAGCCGCGGCAGGTAGCTGAGAGAGTCTTACTTGTCTGACGTCCGCGGTGTTTAAAAACTAAAATTTGTTGTCTATTTCTTATTCTAAATATTCACAGTAGGAGCAAACTTTGCATTCATACTTTTTAATATATTTTCTTTTCATAAAGAAGTCCCCTAAATTGTTTAAGTTTCAGTCCTTAACCCTACCTGAACTTCTAAATATAGCCTAAGGGGCGCCTGGGTGGCTCAGTCAGTTAAGCGTCTGACTTTGGCTCAGGTCGTAATCCCACAGGTCATGGGTTCGAGCCCCACATCAGGCTCTGTGCTGACAGCTCAGAGCCTGGAGCCTGCTTCGGATTCTGTGTCTCCCTCTCTCTGCCCCTCCCCCACTCGCACTGTCTCTCTCTCTCTCTCTCTCTCAAAATAAATAAATAAAAATCAAACCATTAAAAAAAATAAAATAAAAAGAGCCTAAACTGAACCATTTTTTACCACCCCACCCCACCCCACCCCACCCCAGCCAAGCTGCCATCATTTACCACTGGCACTAGTGAGGGCACCCAGATGTCATTCCTTCACTCTGGTCACACCACAGTCCCTTTTCCACACAGTGGCCGCAAGATCCTCGTAAAACGCAAGTCAGTTTACGTCATCCGTCTGCTCAAAACCTTCCAGTGGCTTCCTGGCTAACTCAAAGTCAGTGGACCCCACACTGCCCACGGTGATCACTTGACATATGAATCGGTTACTTCTCTCCTGTTCCACACCTCCGATGGCATCCTAGCATACTCAGAATAAAACCGCAACTTCTTCTCATGGCCGGGCGGGCCCTGCGAAGTGGAGCAGCCCTGCGCCCACATTCACTCTGCTCCGCTCAGTCATGCCTGCCTTCTTTCTCTCCGTGACACCAGAGACTTCTTCATGCTTCTCCAGTCGCCTTCTCCTCCGCCCCTGATCTTTACAAGACATCAGACCTTCTCAAAAGTCTCCTCAGGGACTTCATCCACCCAACCTACTGAAAATGGGCTTCCCTGTCGCCATGTGTCCCCTCACTGAGACTGATGCTTCTCCCGAGCACTGCGTGTCATTATCTGACATCTTACACATACATGGACATAGAGCCTTTTCTTCAGAAGATCTCCTCCCACTGCAATATAGAGTTCCACAGATATGCCACAAAGAGAGGCTTAATGAACGAATTTTGTCCTACGTTATCTACTGAATTTGCTTTCTGGAAGATCACCATTTCTTGCTTGTCATCCGTCAAGCCCCACCTGCTCTAACGGCCTGGATGTCCCTCTCTAAATCACTTCCCAGGGCTCTTCCAAAGTGCTCCTTTTCTTCTTCTCATCAGCAAAGTGAAGGCAACCTCAAGGCTTTCTCCGGGACTTTCCCTGCTTCTCTTAGGACATACTGTCAGTGACTGCAAACACTAGCGGGTTCAACTATGATCTCAGGTTATCAGGTAATGGGGAGGGGCTGTGTTCTCAGAAACCAAAGACTTAAGATACAGGTGGAGGATGAGGGTGTCGCCAAGGAAATCTTTGCACTTCTCAATGGAAACTACGTACAAGTATGGGAAACAACTCATTTTGCTTTGTCGAAACAAAACAGACTATTTTTTCAAAGGTAGAAATGTACACGTTAATTAAAAAAGAAAGCGAGGCAAAATAAAGCACCATTTAAAGAACGTTTGAATAAAAAGAACACCCAGGGGCGCCTGGGTGGCTCAGTCAGTTACACGTCTGACTTCGGCTCAGGTCGTGATCTCACAGCTTGTGGGTTTGAGTCCCAGGTCTGGTTCTGTGCTGACAGCTCAGAGCCTGAAGCCTGCTTCAGATTCTGTCTGTCTCTCTCTCTCTCTCTCTACCCCTCCCCTGCTCACACACCCTCTCTCTCTCTTGAAAAATAAACATTGATAGAAAGAACATCCATGCTGCTGCCCAACTGCTATTTCAATGGAACCAACTG